CCCCAAAACCCCAAAACCCCAAAACCCCAAAACCCCAAAACCCCATTTTACCCTTCACTAACAGATAAAATTTATTCACGAAAATGTCGATTTACAGGTAAGCAAGTTCTGAGGAGTGTTCATGTAATAGTGGATTTTGCACGAGGAAAAGAGAAACCACTTATAATTATTTGGTCGAAAAGTGCCTTGAAGAGCTTGTAACAATGCTATTAGAGTTTGTTAATACCCCCGATAGAGGAGAAACAGAGGGAAGCCCTCCTCACAAAACTCAAGACTTATCTGACAATTTTGTAAAATAAGATCGTTAAGGGTCATTTTTTAATGAGAGGAATGGAGCAAGAGAAATATCTTAAGCCACATTTCTCGAAAGTCCTAAACCCCTTGATTAACTTCTTATTCAATAACTCAGAGTTTTACAATATTCCAAGTGAGATAAAAGAGGATAAAAGTGGTCCTTTTAAGTTTCCAGAATATATTCTTAATCCATCTGAAGCAAAATCTAAGCTGCCGAATAGTATTCAAGATCATCTTGGAGACAATAAAACTGCGAGAAAATTAAAAGAAGCAATTAAATCTGCTAAAAAGTCCAAACGAAGACAAAATCGTAGCAATGAATACAACACTCGCCGCAGTAGCTTTCCTCTAAATCTCTAGACATATCTCAAAATACAGCCATGTCCAAAAACCGAAGTATCACAAATGAGGACTACGACCTAATCTACTCCTCTGCATTCGAGCCTCGATTTTCCTCGATCTGCAAAGACTCCGATACCAATTTCCCCTCCAGATACAAGCCTACCAGACCCGTACGGCCCAAAACTAACAAAAGCTTTAACCCAGCGAACAGCAGCCACAACTTCCTTCACAATTCTGCCAAGAAGCGGATTATCCTAAAGAAAGACTCAGCCAAATTTTACCGCACAAAAGGATCAATTTACCAAACACCTAGTACTTTTCCTGTGTAAAATCTGTGTAGATCTGAGGGAGTCAGATGAGTTTTCACTTGAAAAGACCTCTGAGTTTATATCCACCCTTTCACGCCCCTTCATTGGGGAAAGAGAGAAGTCGGCCAATTGAGTTAATAGGAGGAATAAGGACGGCCTTTATAAGGAGAGGGATAAAGGAAGAATGAAGGGGTCATTAGTGAATAAAAAAAGGAATATACGAACGGCCAGACCTGCCTCGAAAGCTAAGTTTAGGAATAATAAAGGGCATATTGACCAATTTGATATGGATACGTTTTGTATTGCAGAGAGTGATTATCCGAACTAATGAAAAATTTCAAGTTTCAACACCAAAGGGAGTAAAAGGGGTTTTGGGGTTTTGGGGTTTTGGGGTTTTGGGGTTTTGGGGTTTTGGG